TTTTCTTTTTTGGGGCAGAAACTTCAGGAGGTGCCGCCACCTGCAGGTCCGGAGCGGCCCCCGCATTCTGGCAGCTACGGGGTTCCCCATATGCCTACAATTAGGAGTAGTGGTAGGTAGGTAGTGTGAGGTGAAATTGAGAGAAGAATGCAGCTTTTCATTAAAAAAAAAGGAAAAAAGGAGCATCCTTCCACCAACTGACCTACCGTAGCTCAGCTGGTACACCCCCTGAACTGTTGAAATACAGAACCGAGTTTGAACACGTTTTTTTTCCAATTATATATAGAGAGTCAAACAGAGCTGACCGGTATATAAATCTATATATTGAACTCTAACTCTACTGCGAGGATTGAGCCCATCCAAGGCCCCTTTTGGGCACACAGGTGTTCTGAAGGCGGGCCTGTGTATTAGCGAGAGGCCTACTTTTGCCATTTTTCGTATGAGGGGTATCAGACAGTTGCAGCACACCAGTTGGTTATGGTTACAGAGCAATGTGAGCCTTCCCTGGCTCCTTCCAGAAGCAGGAGCTGCGTTGACAGTTGATCCCAGGGCTCATTCGATTGAGGCGCTGGGCACCCGCATTCAGAGGCCGACAAGTCATGCTGCGGCAGTGGACCAGTGAGAAAGCAGCTCCTGCGTCACACACATGCAACGAGCCAATGAGATTGCGCCGAACACTTGGAGCCTCGTGGGCTGCCTGGAAGTGCCTAACTGCACGGAGCCCAGGCCAGTATCTGAGACTGGGCATGGGCGCAGGTACTTTGGGCCAACTTGAAGCTACTGGGCCCCAACACGCCAGGCCCAGACCAGCCAGCAGCAGGGCTCACTTTCCATAAAGGAAAGTGCGTGCCCAGGGGCAGAGGATTCTGGCCTGAGTGGGCAATTCCGCTACGCTGCTGCATTAGCGCACGAAGCAGTTGTACTAGCGCTGCGGGCCAGAGGCGCGCACGGCCGCAGAGGTGAGAGAGGGGCGCTGCGTGGCAGTGGGAGCATGACGGCCATGGCCGGGCTGCTGGGCTGCTGGGCGCGGACGCAATGATGTCTATGGTGGTCTTTGGGTAGAAGGCCCGGAGAGAGGGGAGTCAGGGGTGATGAGGGCAGGAGCGAGACACGTACCTGGTGTATGTTGGCGGTCTGCATTGGCGATGATGTCACATACATTGGTCTTCAACGTCAATGTGTTCCTGTTGCATGAACGTAGACAGGATAGATAGGCTGAGTAGTGTAGGCTGGGCGCTGGGCGCCACTCAGTAGGAGTGACATTGGATTCTATGTTGGTGTGGCCAGAGAGCGTCGGCATTGACATTTGAGTTACACTGTATTGCACTTATTTGGATGGTATCTTGGTGCATTGTGCTGTCTGCTTGGTACATGACTATCTGGACTACTTCGTGATTTTGCAATTTTGATTTCCGTCTATAGCTGCGCTCATATTCTTTGCTCTACTGGAAACAGATGAGTAAAAGACTAAGTTCTGAAGATGAGTAAAAGACTAAGTTCTGAATTACCTACCTTCTTCCCCCGAATACAATGTGTTTGGGCTCCATCTATTGGTGGGGAGCTGCACCTGGTCAGGAGAGGCTCCTGCGTCACCCATTATGTTACTTCTCTCTTTGACAATTCTTCATTTTTTTTTTTTGAAGAATTGTACTCTTATATGTTACCAATGAAATGAAACAGAAAACGAGGCCTCACAATTCAACCCGAGATACTAGGTAGGGGCATTACTCAGTTTACGCTCAGGCTGGAACCACTGGGTCCAGCTTTCCATCCATTCACACCTGCCTTCCAAAAATTAGAAAAAGGTATCTTTTAAAATCTGCCCCCCACAAATAGATTGGAGCCTTGCTTTGTTTAAAAAAAAAAAAAACATGAAAGGCATAACCATCCCGGAAAATTGCACTCTTCACTACCCCCTGTCAAAATTGCACTCTTCACTACCCCCTGTCACAGAAAGAATCTCTGGAAGAAGAATCTATGCAGGGGGACAAAACGTTCCCCATGCCCCCCCCAATTGGGACAGTAAAACACAAATGAACCCTTCCCACAACATCCAAATTGATCCAATCATGATTTCACTCTTTTTTTTTTTTCTTTTTTTTTCTTTTTCCCCAAAAGCAGCCGGGAACCAGGCCCGGCGTCCCTTATATTTCAAAAAGCCAGGAAACGGGCCTGGCATCCCTCACAAAAGGTAGGTGGCCCCATCTAAGGGCGAGACATCACCGGTCAAGCCCTAAGATCGGACCACTATGTTACTGCTAACCCTAATATCCGTGAATCTTTTGTCAACAACAAAATACAAGCAAATTACTATTTCTAACACCAAGCCTGCGGAATCCTATTCTCTATGTCTGCAATCCCGCAAACTTAATTTCCATTATCTGCAACCCCGATCGTCCAACCCTAATTTCCACTGTTTCAACCACACGGCAGGTTCGATAACAACAGCTAGCTTCTATAGGCCAACAAAATCAACAAGCCAACATAACCTATTCTCATTGCTACCTGCAATCCCGCAAACCTTATTCCCCGTAGCTGCAAAAGTCAGGTGTCCAACCCTAGTTTTCACCAACCATAAACTGACAATCACCTACAACATATCAATTCCACAATCTAACTATTTTCTTTACATAACCATATTCCTCGTCCGAGGCAAACACAATTTCTACAATCATTCAAAACATAATTTCTATTGTCTGCAAGGAATACAGAAGTCAGCAGACGTAGAACAAGCCCTAGTTTCAACAACAAAATACTAGCAAATTACTATTTCTATCACCAAACCTGCAAAATCATATTCTCCGTGTCTGCAATCCCACAAACTAAATTTCCATTAGCTGCAAACCCCGATCGTCCAACCCTAGTTTCCACAGTTTCAACCACACGACATATTCGATAACAGCAGCTAGTTTCTATAGTCCAACAAAATCAACGAACCAGCATAAATCTATTCTCATAGCTCGTGCAGCCAGCTCCATCGCACCGCGGCATTCTGTCGTCAAACAGCTCTGGCAAATTTTCGCCGCAGGCCGCCCACAATTGCTCATAGGCAGGATAACCCCGCAGCATCTCCATATCAAAGACCGACAGACTAAGCCCTCTATCGGTTCCATCAGGTGTGAATCAGTTATAATCCAGCTGAAACTCTGGCAAATCGCAATGCTCGGATCCCGCTCGTCGAACGTCCACACATCTGCCACCATCCTTCCACGTTCGAACAGGATTACTAACCCCAGTCAGCCGGGACTGGCCCATGGCAAGGGCTCTTCAGACCCTCTTGCAGTGTGTCCCACTTAATGCCCACACACTCGATCCCCCACACTCCCACCACCCCAGCAACAAGCTCTGGCTAGGCACCACCATCTTCTTGAGAGCACCTGTGCGATCCCCCGTTGCCCAAGCACCGCCCCCGACGGCGCTAACACTGAGATAGCAGGAGGTGTTTCTTTTTCCTTTTTCTTTTTCTTCTTCTTCGTCTTCTTCTTCTTCTTATTATTATTATTGTTATTATTATTATTATTATTTTATTATATCAACCCAAAAAATGGGACCATTTCTCGATTTATGTGTGTCATCCTTGCACAGGGCCCATGCTAATCCTCTTTCTCTGCATCGTTCCAGTTTTAACGAATGTCCCGAAGGACCAGGAGGTGTTTTCGAATCATGCCTGTGCCAGTGACTTGAGATTGTAAGTCCGATCGTGTTTTAGTGATTTTCCTTTTCCTTTCCACAAACGCCATCTTCTCGGGAGCTCATCGTTCCTATCATCATCCCATATAACTTTTGGACCAGGTTTTGTTCTTCGGACCAATAGACCTGACCTTCGGACTATTTCAGCCTCGAACCGGGGACCTGCAGCGAGGTTGGCCCTGTTTTTCGTTTCTTCGTTTTCAATTTTTCGTTTCTTTCGCCTTTTGGTTTCCGGGTGACGATCCGACCGGGAGGACTTGAACCTTTTCTGGCCCTGGAACTGTCAGGAGGGCTATAGTGTGGTGTGGTGTGGTACCGACGGAATAGCATTCAGGCAGGAGGACGTCGCGTTGACATAGGATATAAGGGATATCGAAGACCGACGGTTTCCTCTTTCGCCGAGTGGCGAAGATGCGACGGGGGTGGACCATGGGGAAGTAAGATTGGGTTTGGTCGTCGACAAGACGACGGGTTATCGCATCATTCATCACTCTCATCTTTTTTGAGCTTCAAGTTTGACCACTGTTAACAGCCACGTGTTAACGTGAGTCTGTTCTTAATAATGATGACGCTTGATGATACAACACAACGTTCTTGGTGTGCAAGTGTGCTTTACTGCTGTTGCGATTTTGCAGTCTGTGATTCCTTTCAGTTAAGGTCGTA